GGGAGGGGGCTCAAATCGGCCCCCCCTCATTAAGTTGCTGAGGCGGGGGGGGTCGAACCGCCCCTCCCCCACGTGTACAGGGGTGAGGGTTCGGACTGGCCCCCCCCCCTCCCCCCCGCATACTTTGGCTCGATCCTACGATGATAGAAATCCTACTATATCTGGATCTAGCGTTACCTGAATTCTACTATAGGTGGACGCAGATCTGATTGAAATCCTGTCCAAGTTAGACCCAGCCCTACTAGGATCCCATTATAGCTGGGTCCAGCTTTACCAACATCCTAGTCGGGCTAGGTTCTACTCTCACGGAGTCCTACTCTAGCTGGGTCCAAGTCCAGCTGAACCCCATTAGGCTTCGATACAAATCTAATTGAACCCTAGTATAACTGGATTCAATGTTAATAGCATCCTACCCCGGCCCCGGCCCGATACAATTCGTATTGAACCCTTCTATAGCTGGATCCAGCTATAATCTATAGCTCGACCCTACTACAGTTGAGTCGAACCCTGATATAAGCATACTACAGCAACATCCAGCTCTATTTGAATCCCACCAGTGCTCTATCCAGCTCGAGTACAAACGCACAAGGGCTGATGGATGTGGTCTCCCCGCTTGCAAACGTCGCGTTATAGACTTCAAAGAGAAACGCCGAAGACGGCCAAGAAGCCGCAAGAGAGGCCCAAGAGACCCCCAGAGGATCCCAGGAGGGGCCCAAGAAGCCCCCAAGAGGCCCCGAAGGAGGGCCCAAGCGGGGGTAGTCAAAGGGGCCCAGATCAAATCAAAACGGAGAGGATTATCACAAAAGAGGTTCTGCAAAAGAAGGCAAAGCCCCTCTCTTCTGCACCTCCCCCTCCTCCTGCATGCTCCTCCTCCCCTCTCCCCCTCCTCCACCTCCTCCATCCTCTTCCTCCTCTTCCCCACCAGGGGGAGGGGTGAATGGGGAGCAGAGGAGTAAAGGGGCCGCACGACCAGGACGGGCCTAAGCTGGCCAGGGAAAGCCCTGGGAAGCCCAGAGGAGATGATACTCCTTATCCTCACTCCTCCCCATCGCCTCTCAGGAGGCAACCGTCGGGGAGTCTTGGCAGAAACACTCAGGACTATTGAGCCAGACCACACTGGCGGGGAGCCATACTGGGGGACTGTCAGGCCGGATTGAGCCAAACCAAACCATTCATTGAATCGTGCTAGGCTTGGGAAAACAAAATAAACCTGAACTTAACCTAATTAGGGTGGTCTTCGATCACGGACATACACCAACGCCGATGATGATACTAAAGGCATGTCAGCCAACATGGACCCCAAACAGTGACATGTTCCAATATACGCGGCGCATCTAGATGGTGTAATCCGTGTGGTGCAAAACAGGTGGTGCAATCCATGTGGCGCAATCCACGCGGTGCAAAGCCGTACAAGCAATGCAAAGCAGTGCAAAGCTATGCAACGCAATAAGCATTGCAAAGCAATACCAAGTACTGCACCTCCATGCAAAACAATGCAACGTCAAGCAAAGCCGTGCAGAGCCGTGCAGAGCCATGCAAGGCACTGCACACCAATACAAAGAAATGCTTTGCAATGCAAACCAATTCAATGCGAAACAACGCGAAGCAATGCGAAGCCATGTAAAGCCATGCAAAGCAATACAAAGCAATGCAAAGCAATGCAATACAATGCAAATCAATGCAAATCGATGCAAATGCACAGCAATGCAATACATTGCAACGCAATACATTGCAATGAGACAGCAATTCAATGGGATTGCAAAGCAGCGCAACGCAATGCGATTGCAATGCAACGCAATGCAACAGCAACGCAATGCGATTGCACAGCATGACAAAACAACGCAGGACAACGCGATTGCAATGCAAAGCTGCGCGATTGCAATGCAATGCGACTGCAGTGCAACGGGGGGGGGTGCAACGGGGCGGCAGCGACGGACTGGAACGAGACCGCTGGGCCCGCACACTGGTTTCTAGCTGGACATATGGTGCGGCAACGGACGGGAACGGGGCCGCCTGGGCCGCACACGGACCCCAGGTCCTGAGAAGCGAAGGAAGAACCTCGAAGTGGAAGCACTGTTCAAGGAAAATCCGAGGAAGTGTCACCTGGCCTCGAGACGTCTCCCCAGGGCCCACATGAAACTTAGCCGCATAAATCCCCCGCTCATGGACATCAGAGACAGCCGGACCTGGAGACAAACAGATTGAACACATTGTGAAACCACCTTCCTGCTCCTGCTTCGTATTTCAACTATCGCACTCGGATTCTGACGGCAAGAAAGAATGCGCACGTCCCGTCACGAAGATGCGCATTGTTCGCTTTTTGTTTGTATGATCAGCGCACCAGCTCAGCAAGTCGTCGCAGCGTAATCTCGTCAACATCCAAAAACATCCCCCACCACCTAATGCACCTCCCCCTCCCTTTCTCTCCTTCAAGGCTGCGATCCGATTAAAATCGCAAAATCGAGGATTCTGCAAGACTCGAAGAAGCTCGACGGGGGGGGGGCTACACCGTCCCCCCCCTCCTCCGCTGGGAGGAGGGAGGAGGGCAAGGAGGGAGGGAGGAGGGCGGGAGAACGGAAGGAGGAGGGAGGACCAGGGGGGTCTTAACGGGGCAGCACAGAATTCGAGTATCCAGGGAAGCCTTCTGATCCTCACCCTTACCCTTTCAGTGGCGATGCGATGCCAAGAAGCGGGGCGCAAGAAAGCAGCGTTACTACAGAGCGCGTCGTGATCGTTCCTGGCACGGCATGGAGGAGAGCAGCGCTACAATATAATGCGTTTTCCCAAGCACGGGCACCGCATGGAAAAAGATGTGCGCGTGTGTTGTGTGTGCGTGTGTATTTGTGTGTACGTCTCTCTCTCTCTCTCTCACGTTCTCTCTCTCTCTCTCTCTCTTAGTGCGCGCGTGTGTGTAAGTGTGAGTGTAAGTGCAAGTGTAAGTGTACGTGTAAGTGAAAGTGTATGTGTAAGGGTAAGTGTAAGTGTACGTGTAAGGGTAAGGGTAAAGGCAAGTGTAAGTGTAAGTGTAATTGTAAGTGTACGTGTAACTGTAAGTGTAACTGTAAGTGTAAGTGTGTGTGTGTGTGTGCGTGTGCGTGTGCGTGTGCGTGCGTGCGTGCGTGCGTGAGTGCGTATGCGTGTGTGTGTGTGTGTGTGTGTGTGTGTGTGTGTGTGTGTGTGTGTGTGTGTGTGTGTGTGTGTGTGTGTGTGTGTGTGTGTGTGTGTGTGTGTGTGTGTGTGTGTGTGTGTGTGTGTGTGTGTGTGTGTGTGTGTGTGTGTGTGTGTGTGTGTGTGTGTGTGTGTGTGCGAATCGTATCTTGCTGCGTTGGTACTGTGTGGGAAAAGGGTAGCGCTGCCACAAAGTCATGCGTCGTTCATCGCACGGGCACCAGCAGGGAGCGACTACCGACGAGGCGATCTCAATAGATCTTCTCACATCGTCGACACGATTAGACGACCAACACCGATCACAACACTATTGCGTGCAGCTGTGTTCTGTGTTGTTACATGTTCTCCTCAACCGTTCCCGCAAAGATACTCGAATCGAATTCGACCAACTCGTTACCTGTCGAATCACCCGCTGTGCGACGGGCTGCAATACAATGGGAATAATGGCAACCAACTCCCAATTAATCCAACAAAAACGAAACAACATATACATTATACATTATTATGTACTGTACCGCGATTGCTCCGTCCACCCTCTCTCATCCTCATTCTGCCTCCCTCCTCATTCCTCACGCCTCTCTCTCTCTCTCTCTCTTTCTCTCTCTTTCTACCCCCCCCCCGCTCGTCGCGAGAGAGAGAGAGAGAAGGAGAGAGCGAGAGAGAGAGACACAGAGAGAGAGAGAGAAAACAAAACAGACAGACAGACAGACAGACAGACAGACAGACAGACAGACAGACAGACAGACAGACAGACAGACAGACCGACGGACAGACGGACAGACGGACGGACAGACGGACGGACAGACGGACGGGCGGACGGGCGGACGGACAGACAGGCAGACACAGAGAGAGAGAGAGAGAGAGCGGGACAGAAAAACCCGACCAAACCACGAGAGGAAGGTGGATGAGGGAGGGAGGGAGGAGAACGGGGAGGGGGGGGAGATGGAGGACGAGGACGAAGCGCTGCGATGGAGGAGGGGAAGCGGGAGGGCGATCAATCAAATTCGTTCGGGGCGTCGGCACCCCAGGCCTTACATTCTCCGCGTCGGCCTCCCCCTTCCCCCATCACCCGTCCTCCCTCAGCCCCCCTTCTCAGAGGTCAGCATCCGCCTCCCCCCTCCTTCGCACGATCCTCCAACTCCTATCCTTGCTCCTTCATGCTCCTCCTCCAACTGCACTCCGTGCCCATTAGTCTCATCCTCCTTCTCCTCCTCGCCCTCGGCCTCGTCCTCCTCCTCGTCCTCCTTCTCCTCCTCCTCCTCCTCCTCCTCCTTCTCATGCTCATAATTTCTGCTCCTCCTCCCCATCCGCGTCCTCCTCATCATCCTCCATGTCCTATACCTCTTAAACCTCCCTCCTTGTTCCGCCTCCTCATCCCAATCCTCCTTCCCCCCCTCCTCCCCATCCTGCCCCCCCTCTCCTCTGTCCTTGCCGTCATCCCCCTTCTTCCGCCCCTCGACCTCATCGCCTCTCCTCCCCCTCCGTCGCACCCCGATCACCTCCCCCTCCCCCCCCCCTCCCCCCGCACCCCCCCCCCTGGAGAAACCAAAAGCTACGGATACCGCTACTCCACGGACCTCTCCTGGGGTGCGTTCTGACCAAGATTCCGAAGCGAACGCAGCGGTGGCAACGAGGCCCTCCCAGGAGGCCCAAAGAGGTGAGAACGAGGCAGGAGTAGTGGTGTCGGCTCCTTTTCGTCAAGGGCGTCTAACTTCGCGCTCTCGCGCCGCCCCCCAAGGGAGAGGAGGAAGGATGAGGAAGAATCGGGGCCGAATCGCGAAACGCGATTCGCGAACAACTTCGCGCCCTCGAGGGCGCCCTTGCTCCCCCGCCTCAGGATGGTGTTCTTCGCGTCAAGCACCACGTAGAAGTCCGAGTACACCCTGCTCGCCACCTGCCACTCGGCGACGAGCCGAGGGGAAGTGAGGAGGGGCGGTCCTTCTCAGAAGGCTCGGAAGCCCCCCACCTTCTGAAAGGTTTCTGAGCCCTCCCCGAAGACACAGACTGCTTCTCGGAAAGCGTGAGGGCTCCTGAGAAGTCACGCCGCCTTCCGACAAGGCATGTTTCTTCTCACTTCGCCCCCTCCCCAGACCCCCGACGTCATGCTGTTTTGTGAACGTCGACCCCCAGAGGTCTCGACCCATTCCCCAGGACCAGTGTTTCGTCCTGAATATGTGTTGGACGGTCCCAGGGCCTCGGAAGGGCCATCCGAAGCCGACAGTAGACACTTACGCTACGAAGGAACACCAATTCATATCTGGTACATGTTGCCAACGCCACTTCTACCACCAAGACCGATGGAACAACTTCCAATACTGCTACAAGGACGGGCCAGTGGGCCGTTGGACAATCTCCAAGTGGACACTGTGCTCCCGTGCGACGAACACAACAATCTCGATCTGGCCACGACCATTATCGGCAATCACGAAGCCTGCGCACCCCATGTGCACCCCCTTATGGTGTCGAGAATGCGCCACGCCCGCTATGTCCAAGACGTATGTCACGGATAGCGGCCGCGCTCAGAGACCACCCCCTGCGCACACCCTTCTGGCGTGGACGAAATGCCACGCGTGCTATGCCTAGGACGACCGTCACGGATAGCGGCCGCCCTCAGAGACCATCCCCTGCGCGCCCTCTATGGTGTCGAAAACATGCGACGCCTGCTATGCCCTGGACGACTGTCACGGATAGCAATCGCCCTCAGAGACCACCCCCTGCGCACCCCGTATGGTGCCGAGAATATGCCACGAGTGCTATGCCCTGGACGACCGTGACTGACAGAGGCCGCCCTCAGAGACCACCCCGTGCGCACCCCCTGTGGTGTCGAGAATATGCCACGCCCGCTATGTCCAGGACGACTGTCACGGATAGCTGCCGCGCTCAGAGACCACCCCCTGCCCACCCCGTTACGACGTCGAGAATATGCCACGCATGCTTTGCCCTGGGTAAACGCGCAGGGTGTCATTATTCTCCCACTTGCGTGCGATGTATATGTGTGTGTGCGATTGTGTGTGTCACGCGGTGTGCGGCTGTACGTCTGTATCTGCATGGCGTTGTGATAGGTATGAAGTGTGCTGTTGTATGACGGCGACTGAGAAAGAAGAGGGTGAGGTGCGTGTGTGTGTGTGTGTGTGTGTGACGCGGATGCGACGCGGGTGGGAAGAAAACAAACACCCCACGAAACATGTGGGGGGAGAAACCCTCCGTCGTGATGTTTGTCATGACTCGAGAGGGTCTGGGTCCTTTTCGCTTCCCCCCCTCGCTCGCCGCCTTCCGCCGAAGAACGGGGCGCCACTGCCCCACGACCCTTCCAAGGGCGAGGCCCCACCCGGGGCGGGCGCCTCCCGCGCCCCCTTCCACACCGCCGATGGGCCCGCGCCTCTCCGCGCGGAAAGGGCCTGCACGGCAGGGCCGCGCTGCACGCGGTCCAGTTTGGGGCCTTTCCCGAGGCATGAATTGGGGGTGCCTGGGGGGGGGGGGGCGCCTTGAGACTTGTTTTCTCCATGACACGAACCACCAACATGTTGCTTCCGACCTCGAGCACCGCATATCACCGCAGCAGTGCTGCGCCGCACCCTTGGACAGAGGAGCGGATGGATGGTGTTAGACCTCTCTGCGCCACGCGCTGCCTCCAACTGAAAGACAAGGTAGCAGGCCGCCTGGAAGACACAACGAGGCGAGGAGACCACAGAAGGGCACGAGGCCGAAAAGCACGCGACGTCCAAAACAGTGAAACCGCGCGCGGGGAAAGAGCAGGGCGAAGAAGCGAAGCAGGACGAGATCTCGTGGGTGCGGAGGCATTCAAAACGCGGCGCGCGCACCAGGTCCCACACGAGCCAATCAGAGAGGAAGGGCGGAGGGAGGAGAGGAGGCGAAAAGAAAAGGAACGCAGTTGAAGTACAGTGCAAAGAAATCTGGGCAATCGAAGTACATGCACAATACCACGACGTGGCAGCAGAGTGCCACGCGCGGACTGGCCCGGGGAGGCGAGCGGGCAAGCCCAGCGTAGGCTGGGATTGGCCGCTGGCGGCCGAAAGGGGGGGCAGGCAAATTCAAACGGTGGGCCCTCACCCACCAATTGACAAACAAAACCTGCAAAGCACCAGCAGAAGGGAGGCGCAAAGAGAGGAGGGGAACAAAGGTGAAAACTGAAACACCTTGCAAATTGCGCTTAATGGCTCACCCCTCACCCGTAATGTTCGTCATGATGCTCATGGTATCCACTGTGGTGCTCCAAGGGTCACTTTCGTTGCTCATGATTCCCGAATCAGCTCACGTAGCTGATGTCTACGGCACCCGTCGCTGCGAGGGCGTAGAATCTCCTTAACAAGCCACTCTGTTAGCCGCACCTCGGCGATGCCCTCGCCTATGTCCGCGAGTTTGAACTGGTTCACCACGCGGCGCTCCGGCGAAGTGCGGGAGTCAGCGGTCTGGTCGGCACCGGAATCGGCGAGCCCCTCGGCGCGGGAGTCGGCACGCTGGTCGACTCGGGAGTCGGCGAGCCACTCGGCGCGGAAGTCGGCGAGCAGGTCGGTGCGGGAGTTGGTGAGCTGGTCGGCGCGAGAGTCGACGAGCTGGTCTTCGCGGGAGTCGGTGAGCGCTGGGAGTCAGTGAGCTGGACGGCACGGGAGTCGGGGAGCTGGCCAGCGCGGGAATCAATAATGAGCTGCTCGATGACTGAGCCGCCAACGCGGCCCACGCGGGAGTCAGCGACGTGGTCGGCGCGGGAGCTGGCGAGTCACTTGGCGCGGGAATCGACGATTGGTCGGCTCGAGAGTCGACATGCTGGTCGATGCCTGAGTCGGCGAGTTGGTCGGCGCGGGAATCGGCGAGCAGACCAGCGCGGGAGTGGGCGAGCTGGCGGGAGCCGCCAAGCTGGTCGGCGCGGGAGTCGGCGAGCTGATCGGCGCGGAAGTCCTCGACGCCAGCTCGGAGAAAATAAATCGCACCACGTTGCAAGACGCAACGAACATGTCACGAATTCCGTTGCTGCGATGGCGTGGAGGCTCGCGTGGGAGTCGGCGAGCTGGCCGGCGCGGGAGTCGGTGAGCTGGCCGGAGCCGGAGCCGCCAAGCTGGTCGACGCGGGAGTCAGCGACCTGCTCGGCGCGGAAATCGGCGAGCCACTCGGCGGGAGCGTCGGCGGGGTATAGTCGACCCGGGAGTCGACGAGCCACTCGGCGCGGGAGTCGGCGAGATGGTCGGCGCGGGAGTCGTTGAGCGGGTCGTCGCGGGAGTCGGCGAGGCCGTCGGGGAGTCGGCGAGCTGGTCGGCGCGGGAGTTGGCAAGCTCAAGACTCAACGATCATGTCACGAATCTCGTTGCTGCGATGGCGTGGTGGCTGGCGCGGGGGTCAGCGAGCTGGCCAGCGCGGGAGTCGGTGGGCTGGTCGGCGCGGGAGCCGCCAAGCTGGTTGGGAACGGTGGCCCCGATCAGGGAGACCAAACAGTATCACTCTCTCACGAGCATCGCGATGCACTCGCCCTTCCTGCCCGAGCCCGGGGCCACTGTAACGAATTGTCTGCCTACGGAGGAAAAATCACACCACGTCTATAAAACGTGCACTGGTCGGCGCGGGAGCCAGCGATCTGGTCGGCGCCAGAGACGGCGAGCCGCTCGGCGCGGAAGTCGGCAAGCTGGTCGGCTCGGGAGTCGGCGAGCCACGCGGCGCGGGAGTCGGTGAGCTGGTCGGCGCGCGAGTCGGGGATCTTGTCGGCGCGGTTGTCAGCGAGCTGGTCGGCGAGGGAGTGGGCGAGATGGTCGGCGCGCGATCGACGCCCAGAGCAGCGCTGGTCGATGAGCCAGTATAAGATCTAAGTCAGTAGTGGTAAGCGAGGGTGGGAGGTCGGATGCCGGATGCCGGAGGTCGGGACGTGCTGGTCAGCGTCGATCTGCTTGCGTCCGCCACGTCGCTCAGAGCGCCTTCGGGTCTCGTCGGAGCGGGGCCTGCGCGCCGGGGGAAGCAGATCTGGTCTTATACTTCACCGCCCAAGCGGCGCCCCTGACATAGCAGGGACATCCACCAACAATTCCACCCAAAGAAGATCATCGAAACAAGCTCGCTAGCACTGCGCTGCTGCGTCGCGCCGAGGGCGACGACGCGGAAGACGCGGAGAAGCGCAATGAGAACAAGCAAGACGTCAGAGGAAAATGAAGGACACCTCGCTCTGAGAAGCGGTTCATCTGCGACGGCGCCCCCGCGAGCCGACTGGCGGACCCCCGCGCGAGATTCGACATTAATTTAAGACTCGCGTCTTAAGAGGAGGAAGAAACGCACGTCGACGGAGCCGTCGTCGCACTCGCCGCGCTGGGAGCGCTGCGGCATCGCCTCGCGGTCGCCGCGGTGGGCCAGCGCCGACGTTGTCCTGACATAGCCCCCGGTACGCCCCGTGCGCGAACTGATTCATCATAAAATGTATGATGCACGTGGAACGGGCCTCCGTGCCCGAGAAACGTCGGCGTCGCATGCGGCCAACTGCGCGATGCACAATGCACTTAGAAACCGCTTGGACATAGAAGGCCTCGTCGTCCATGTCAGCACCTGAGAAAGCGCGAACTGAGTGGTGCTGAGCAGCGGCGCGCCCAAAGCTCGCTCACTGCCATCCGAGACATGCTGGGCACTGGAAGTAATGTTGCACCGAATCACAAGCCGTAATGCTGCACCCCAATGTGCGGGCGCGTCGGTGTAATCGCATACTGCGCATGCGCCAGTCCGTGGCGCATCTATTCAAGATAGCGCTCAACATCGCAGCGCAGAGCCTTTGCGGCACCAGCCGGCGCGGGCGGACCACTTGACGCGCGGCCCGCCGCGCCGTCCTTTCCGGGTAAACTGGGAGACGCCATCGCGAAAGCCGTGCGCGCAGCCGCCATTCTACGCAGTAGCGGTCTTAGACAAGCAGGCGCACGGCTACCCATCCGCGCGCCCCCTTCATTGAAGCGTGGGGCTGCCTGGCGCGCGAGGGGCTCAATGACGGCGCCCCCTAGTGCGGCTTGAGCAGCTTGAATATGCGCCACCGCCGCGGCTTGCGCAACCACCAGATTGACAGCCACTGTCGGAGAGCGCTGGTCTAACAAGGGGAGGCAACATCTGTCGAGGGTCAAGTGGTCGGCCTGGGCCCGTGCATTTTGAAGTTGACGTGCCAAGCGATCCCCAGGAATGTTTCAAAGCTGAGCGCTTCCCATGCATGTGCCCGTGGCATCGCCGCCTGGCATGGCGCGCGCAGGCGGCGAATCCTCGCTAAAAGGCCAAGCTCTGGTCCGCCCTGCTTATCGGATGGCGTTCACCACCTTCCTGGCCCTGGCGCCACCTCACGAACCGCGGCCGCTTCCATCTCCAGGACTGATGCGGGGGGGGCCTTCCAGCTGCGCAATAAACATGAGAACGGGTAATACAAAGACGATGCATGTCGCCATTACTCCCTCCATTACCACTCACGTAACCGCTCCATGGATTTCGCCGAAGATGTGTCCCAAGATTTGCCGCCCTTTCTTGGCCCGACGTAGAAACCCAGGTACTCCCCTGTCGTATCCAATGTGATTTGGATCGAGGTGGGGTAGCCTGTAGTTCGGGCGCGCTGACGCCCCATATACAGGAAAAGCCGCCGTCATGGACAGGTTCGGCCAAAGGTTGGAGACCGCCTCGAAAACCCTGAAGGTAGCGAACATTCACTTGTGATCCCTGGCCCACGAGCGAAGGACCTTCGCAGCGTCGTCCGCGAAGGCCCGCGTCGTACCTGATGGGCGCCGCAGGTCCAGAATGCGCAACAGGCGGTTCTAAGAGGCAAAACCGAACAAGAGCGGCGACAAGGGGCAACCATGTCTAATACCTGCTGCCAGGGCCATCCGCTCATAGAGACGACCTGATATAAGCAGAGACGCCGCTGTGTTGTGGCAAAGCGCTGCGAGGACGTCCATGGCGAACTGCGGGAAGCTGGCTGTGCGGGCCTTTGTATATCTGCTCCCCGGCGGCGCTTGTTCTGGTTGGTTTGTAAGGAAGCAACATAAGAGAGACGCATTGAAATCGTCGTGCGCCGCGTCCCCTGCCCAAAGCCCGCCCTCCGATAGCCGACCAGCCCCCCAAAGAGTGTGAACACCGAGAGGGCCCAGATATCGCCAGGCCTGGAAAGGTACGCCGTCAGGGCCTGGCCGGGAGTTACCGGCAATGCGCAAAGTTTTCTGGGTGTCTCTGGTGCGCTTATGGCCAGCAGGGACCGCCAGCCGCTGAGACCCCGCGTGCGTGGCCGGCGCCGTCCATGTGGTCAGCTCCGTCTCGCCGATCTGCTTGTGGCCGAAGACTCGCCGCAAGAGGGCAGCCAGCTGCTGAGCGATCACGTGCTCGTCAATCTGAGCGTCGCCGTTGGCGTCCTCCAACAAGTAAATACCCATGTTGCTCGGTTTTTCGAGCGAGCCGGGCCAGCCGCCGATGTATCGAGTTCTGCTGCACGCGCTGGTGGTGCTCGTTCATGTCCCCGCCATCCTGCTCACCCACTTGTGGTCGCGATCGCACATCGTGCAATATCTCATCCTGGTTAAGCTGAAAGCCAAGTCTTTTAGTTTGAGGAAAAGTGTGGCTGCCGTCGCGGCTGGTGGAGCCACTGTGGTCAGCCACTCGTTCGGCAACTGGCGCTGGATAGTTCGGGGCGAAGACAAAATCCAATTCCTGATGTCCGCGATTATTGAAAAAGCAGTGGAGGCCGTCGTGGACAGAGCCAGCTTGTCGAGGAAGGCCTGGCCATTGTCGGAGTCCGCCAGGTTGTGCGCAACTGTGTACATCGCCTGCTTGAGAGGACGTAGCTTGTGCACGGAATCCAATATGATCCCGTCCCGCGCCTGTCTCTTGACTTTGTCGTGGTATTCCCTGGAGACCCGTCGTGAGGAGTCAGGGTGATTGAATAACTTCTCGTGTAGAACGGGCGGCCAGTCTTGTGCAGCAGGCCGTCGATGCCCGAACGACATAGAGCGGTAATTGCACACAGCCCATCCGCGGGCGTCCGATCGGGGCCAAGGCCACGCAGCCACCCAGAAGGCACAGTCAAAACAATCTGCTGTGCGGTGACTGGAATAACTAGACTCTGTCGAGTCGCGACTGTACGCCCGCAGACTGAAATGTATAATCGGGCTGGGCAAATTCCAAAAACTTGCCAGGCCCCGCCACAGTATCTTTACAGTCACGCTCTTCAGCTGCATTATGCTGGCACGTGTGCTGCGAAATCCTTCCCCCCAACACGGAATCCATGGATCGGGGGAGGTGCCCTCCCCAAAATGCGGCCGGTGCCGCCCCGTTCTGCGGCGGAAACCCTCGACTTCCCATGGAAGCGGGACCCGTCGCTCGTCCACGCCCCCCTCGACCCATGCTTGCGGTCGCCCGACTCTCGCTCGCCGCCGAACCACGGCATGGGCGTGCACGGCGGGAGAGCCGCCCGCCGCTCGAGGAGGGCACCCCCCTCTTGCGGCCGCCTGCCTTCGGGCTGCACGCCCCGCGCCCCCCGAGGCCCCCGCCCCTCCGGGCATCCGGGGGGGGGGCAGGGGCCGAGCGCCGAGGATCCGCAGGCAAGTCCGAGGATCCCGACTATAGTTACTAGCTCCGAGCGCCGAGGGCCCCGGAGGATCCCGGAGGATCGAGCACCGAGGACCGAGGCTCCCGGAGGCTCGAGGGCCGAGGAGCCCAAGGTCCGCTGAGCTCCTGGCGTAAGAGTCCCTCCTGCTCCTCCTCCTCCTCCTCCTCCTCCTCCTCCTCCTCCTCCTCCTCCTCCTGCGCCTCCTCCGCCTCCTCCTCCTCCGCCTCCTCCTCCCCTGGCCCTGTTTACCGGCGGGCGCAGCGCTTCACCCTTTTGCAGCCCGTGACTCTTTCAGCCCGATGTCCTGCCCACGCGCCAAACGGCGCACGGCTTCCCAGAGATGAGACCAGAGATGTTCGGATGTGCTCCATCCGTGCGCTGGGGCTCCAGGGAAGCCTCTGGAGGCCTCCAGAGACATCGCAGAGGTCTCCCGAGACCGCCGAGGACCTCCAGGGCGCGCTGCGATTTCGGCCCGGCAGGAGCCGGTTCTGGACGCCCCGGACACCAAGCACTGCCCGGAAGGGAAAACTTGCCTCGAAGATGGGGTCAAAGGCCCTGGAGGCCCACGAAAAAAACACGGGGAGGTATGGGAACCCCTGGCAGCTTTCAGCATCACGTCTGCAATGCTTTCACGTTATCTGGGAGGCTTTCGTCGCTACGGCTGTATGCACTTCGGCAAACGGCTCAAAATGGTGTCAAGGAGGAAGGTCAGCGTATCGGGAGCAGGAGACGACCCTCAGCTGCGGGCGTTATCACATTCTGACCCATCTCGGGCCTTTTGGCCATCACGGGTCAAGCCATGTATAAAGCTGGCCTCTCAGAACAAGCGCCACAGGATCCACAACGGCAATCTTCAGAAGGTGTCTTCATCGCATGCGCCTCCCAACGCTGTCATTGCAGACACCAGCAGCTCGCGCCTTGAGCTTCGCCGCCTGCTGCACCTTCCAGCCCTCCCCGTTGACGGCGAGCTCGATCACCTCAGGGTCAGGTCGATTCACGAAACATACAGATCACAAGCCTCAATCTCGCGGTGCGAACACTGCGATAATCATACAATGCCGATGACCATGCACATCGATCATGTGAACAAAACGATCGATCGCGCATCCAGCGAAGTTATGCAGGTGGCCTCGACTTCACCATGAGGTTCCAAGGCCCTCTTGACCTGGGCGTGATGTGCGACAGAAGCCGACACATTGCCAGCACAAACCCTGTGAACCACACCTTCTCGCAAGATGGTTCGGTTCCCCCTCCCCGACCTAGCCCCAGTAATACTGTTTCAACCTTGCACCCCGATGCCGCCGCATCCGCCGACCTCCGCTTGTCAGGGTTGACAGGACGTGCGCGATGTTTGGCTGTCCCCTCTCCCTGCAGACAAGACGACGGAACCACCCTGCACAGAGCCTTCCACGTCACGAGGTGCGGCCCTAATGGATACGGGTGATGGGGGCGGCCGCCCTACCGGGTCTCCTGTTCCACATCAGAGATTGTCACACGCTATGGCGATTCAAGCCAACAGCCCCCCTGCGGAAGACAATGCAATGCAGTACTCCCTGCGAGACACGAGACAAAACTATGCGCTACAATGCAATAATACTCGCCGCGGGAGACACTACTCTTAGGTCGACGCTGACCCCCCTGGCGGCGCCTCGAGCGCCACCCCTGGCGCGTTTCGCGCGCAAGGGGAGAAGTGGCCCAGCGCCGATCCAAGAAATCCGCGCGGACCTCTTACAATTTGAGGTGCTTGTTCTCTGCAACGCGCAGCCACCGCCCCGCTGAGGCGTGTTTCGAACCGAGCCTGCTGTAAGTTCGTGTGGTGGCGACGTTGGCGTTGGTTCCCAACACCGCGTGGAACATTCAATATTGAACGATCGCGGCTTTCCTATAGCGCAGACCCTTCGATGCCACCCGATTCCGGTCGATAGACAGGGTTCAGCCTTGCACGCCCGCGTCGACGCGACGCCAACCTGCCATAGTTGCAAGGCAGGTCTCAACGTCGCTTGGCACTAGGAGGGCGGCAAGACCGGGCGCGCGCACGGGCTGTGTGCCTTCTGCAGCAAGCGGTGCGGGCCACTGCGCACTGCAGTGAATGCTGCTGTATACCCGCATGCCTCGGTCGAGGAGGGCCGATCGACATCTCGACCAAACGCACAACGACGCATCTCATTGCCTGCGGGCTCGTTGAATTCGTCGCGTGGCACTTTTTTGCGCGCAAGGCGCAAGCGAAACGGCAGAGGAGAGCAAGCGGGGGGGAGGCGAGACCACCCCAGAGCCCCACGGCAAAAGGCCTCAGGACCCCTGGGGCAAGGAGAGCCCCCGGAGCCAGGCGAGCCCCAAGGGAGGCCGCTGGGCAGAATGGCTGCCCACACCAAGCAGGCCACAATGGTCACAGCTGAGGCTCAGGAGCACCGTTCAAAACACGAGGGGCCGCTCGAGAACTGCCTCCACGCAGAAGGCTAAATACCAGTAATTCCAGGGAGATCGCCCCTCTGAAAAGAGCAGCGCTTGAGCTTGTAAGGAATAAGCTGAAACAACCAAATCAACACAAATCCCAAGCCCTCTGCCGCCCATCGCGCTGGTCTTCACACCTAGCGGGCACATCGGGCAGGGCGGAGGTGACAAGCTTCTTTCCAAGCAGCCCTTCTCTCCATGCTCGGGGATGCTTCGGAACATCTAGAATATACCATTGTCCCAAGAATTGGGCATGCGTCTGATTCCAAGGTTACCTGGGATGTGCTCCTAGGCGAGAGAAGGTCAAAACATCAAAGAAGCCAGTAGAAAACAGCGGCAGCTTCTGCAACATTACAGGAAAGTCCCACCATCCCTTCCGCACCGCTCTCTCCAAAAAGACAACATCAAATTCGCAACGGAGCGGGACTCGAGACGATGCGCCGTCACCCCTAAGGTGGTGGATTCCACTGTTTCCCTGGGCATGACCTCCTCCATCTGGTCGCCGTAGTCCGACAAAGGGTGTGACGACACCCAGCAGATGATCACCTTCCGGCTTTGGACTGGCCATATGTAAGTGGAGACGGCGGGAGGAGGGCTAAGAAAAAGGAGGAGGATGAGAACAATGGAAACGAAGAGGGGATAGAAGGAGAAATCAGGAGGCACATTGGCTAAGGAGTAACGCAGACAAGGAGGAATGAGGGAAGAAGGATAAGGTGCAAGAGATGGACATGTTGGGTGAGCAGTGACAAGGGAGGAATCCATCGGAAGAAAACGGACAAAGGAAGAGGATATGGATCATGACAACTGGGCGCCGACCTTGCCGAGGACCCCAACTTTGTCGTGCTGTGTGATCGACTGGGCGGTCATCTTCAACTTGCACAGATCCCGCTCGTAGACGGGGATGACAACTGTAGGTACCTTCCGGGACGAGCTCTTCTTCTCACACCGCAACCGGCGGCAACTCCGCAGGCATCTACGCCCACTGCGAGTTGGGAAAAACTGGTCGCGGGATAATGAGCGCATTGGCAAAGACCAGGTTGCAAAGCTCTGCAGCACACGCGCACTGAAAACGATGTAGCCTCTCTCGATCTCGGTCGGGAAGCTGCACCACTACCCATGCATGCGCTACAATCATGACTCTTGACGCACGCCAGAAGGGGTAACGCCATAACTTTGCGAATAAGATCTCGCTGCTGCACGATCACAGGAATGGTTGCGCAGAAAACTGTGCGCTCCAAGCAGCGACGCCCGCCAATGGAAATCCCAGTATGGTCACTAGCAAATCCTATTTTATGGTCAGAATGCTTTTGCAACGGGCTCTGACAATACAACAACTTTGCGGCACGGCTGCTGCGGTAACACGCATTGTTTCGGGGATTGGGATCGATCGTGTTGAGTTTGGCTTTCGCAATGCACCAACGTATATTGAGCTTTGCTTGACTTTAGCTCGGTGTCCGCTCAGCATGGAACTTATACCCGAATTCATCGCTGCACTGAAGCAGTGTGGAGCACTGGCCAATCACGCACGGAACAGCAACATCACGCTGATGGATAGACGTGCTTATTTCATTATCCGATGGACTGCTTAGAGCACTCACTGCGCGGTGTCGCGTGGAACCCGAAGAAGAACTAACAATTGCCCGCAACTTACATATCAAAACCACTCGCAACCATACTGAATCATCAAACGTCGGATCGCAACGCTACCTCTGCGCAGCACTTTTAATGAGGCCCTCGGGCCTCGCCGTGGGCAGCATGGCGCTTTCCAGCGTTTTTCCAGGCGATATAGCCCCAGAACTTTGGAAAGCATTGGCACAGTCTTCAGAAGCATGCGGAGAACTGTTAGCATTATTTCAAAAATGCCGGAGCGAAAAAGGTATTTCTCGCGAGTGGAATACATCCATAATTACAGTCTTACATAAAAAAAGGGCAGCGCGAGTTTGCCAGATAACTATCGGCCGATATCTTTATTAACGATTTGATCTAAGCTTCTTGCCTGGATGTTGCAAAAACGCATTCAGAAGGGAGGGGCCGAGAAAAGAATACGATCTAGCCAGTTCGGCTTTCGTCCTGGAAGAGGCACGGCCCAAGCCATTAGCATTGCACGGCGGATGTTCGAAGCAGCGCAAACAGCCCAGGCAGCAGGTCTGATTGCAGTATTGTTAGATAGGTCCAAAGCGTTAGATCGAGTAAAACATGATGCACTTTTGGACGCTCTTCATAGATTTGGCCTACCAGCGGACATGCTGGACATGGTGGCAGCAATTTACAAGTGCAAGAATTTCATTCTAAAGGACCTGGCTAGGAATTCAAGACTGCGGAACCAGGCTGCAGGAATTGCCCAAGGCTGCCCTCTTTCGCCACACCTGTTCATCATCGTGCAGAGCGTGATGTTCTACGACATCGACAAGCGCATTGATGGCCTCCACGCTGACATCCGGGAACCAGAATTCCTGGTGTGCCGTGACCTCCTTTACGCAGATGATACCATGCTCCTCAGCAGCGATTCCGGGAAATTGCAGACGTTACTCGACATTGTAATCGACGAAGGCAAAAAGTACGGCCTGAATCCGAACTGGGGCAAGACTGTGTGCATGAACGTGTGCCATGATGATGTGATCTTCTCACCCACAGAAGCCCCACTCACAGTGGTGGAACAAGCAGTGTATCTTGGGGGCCTGCTGACCGTGAAGTGCATCGCAAAGCCAGAAGTGACCAGGAGAATCGGTGAAGCCAAAGGCTGTTTCCAGAATTTGTTTAAGTGTTGTTCGCACGCCAACATCAGCCGCTTGCCAAAATTGTTGTATAATTTAGAGACGCTGTGGCTTCTGCAGACAGACAAAGACCGTTTGGACAGCTTCCACACGCAATGCTTGAGACGAGTTTTAAGAATTCCTAGGGCATATGAGTGTCTAATAAAGAAGTCCTGGAGCGAGCCAGGGAAGACCCTTTGAGCTCCGCACTTCGCTGGCGCCAAACAGCTTTGTACAAGAAACTCGCAGCACTGCTCGGGGACAACCCTCTCACTCTTTTAACTTGCCAGCCTGGCACTGACTTGCCCAGAAGATGGGCGCACCGGCGTCGCAGGAGAAGGTCAAAACAGCAATGGGCCCCTTGCGTGTATAATCGTCTGCCAACGCATTCGCTTTAAGTTTCCTCCACCTCCTCCGTCCTCCTGCTCCTCTTCCTCCTCCCCCCCCTCGTCCCCTCTTTTCCTCACAGGTGGAGCTGATACGTTTTCATGGAATTTCGTATCGCGCATTGTGCTTCACAGTCGTGGGACGCTCTGCTTTCTCTGCTTCACAGTCGGGCGCTCTGTGAAACTCTGTTGAATTTCGTGCTTGTCACGCAGCCGAAGGGGAGCCA